CTCCGCTCCGCTTGTGGTGAGCTGATCATCCAGGCAAGGTGAAGAAAAACCCTTTCGGACGGTGCCTGAAAAGACCCATCAGCCTAATGAGAACGCCGATGTTTGTTCCTGCAGCCGCTCGCCACAACTGCGCTATTGGTTTTAGGCTGCGCCTAAGCTGAGTAGTGCGGCTGGCTGAAAGGGGTCGTGGTGTGTGACCATCATTTCAGCTTCACGCGACAGCCCCAACGGCCGTGTGAATTACCTAATGTCGATGAGTGCTTTTGGAGTCGGTGAGGGACGGCTTACTGCTTTTCTTTCTCGATCATAGCTGAAAGCGACAGATGCAGGGTCGAGTATGCAGAAGTGCGCCCACCGGTGCTCGTATTGCCCACGCAGCTGCAAAGAGTCAGTGAGCTGGCGGAAACACGAGCAATATTACAGGGGAGGGGTCCTTCTGGCTTAATAAGTACTCGGCAATGCTCGAGCTGCGATTGGGCCTGCAGGGGCGCTGCATGGCCAGAACACGCCGTCGCAGACTTAGGTCAATAGTCGGGCTGCCACCAACGCCGACCCCTTATCTTTATTTCTTATTTCTCAGGGCCAGCGCAGACGCCCCCTACGGTACGTACGCACGTACGTAGCACAGACTGAAAAAATGGGTTTATTGTTATTATGGTTATTATTGGGCGTTCGGCCCCAGAGAGCGTTGGACGCCACCTCGTAGGGGGCTGATGAGTGACATTTCTGGGCACGGCCAAGAGATAACGAGGGCTCTTGGCCTTCTGGAAGCGAGTGTCCAAGACACGGCTGCTGATCTCCCTCGGCGAGGGTTTCACTGGATTTAAACATTTCGATTCCTCGATGGAAAGGGCAGGGAATAGCAGGGCTAAATCAGAGGTAAAATCCCTCCCGGGCACCGCGGGAGTGCTCAGCGGAAATATCTTTATTTTGCCCCCACACTCCATCCCATCGCTCGACGTCCCGGTTGGTCGACGATACACAACCTGTGACAACTAAGTGTGCCGGTTTGCCGAGTGGAGATTTGAGACGAGACTAAGAGGAAATCCGTATCGTATACGGGCATCACCAACGAGCCAGCCGACCCAGCTTACCAGTCAGAGCTGGCGTGCCTGGTTAGTGGTGTGGGAGGGGAGGAGGAGATATGGCTCGTAATAAGATGTGTGTGTCTCCAGCGGGATCGTCGCCGCGGGTTCACTTTCTACGTCCTTCTTCGTAGTTGCGATTGTTGTTGCTGTTGTGCTCAGGGTCATCAGTCGTTCAGAACCCTTTCCTTTGCGTGTAACATTGGCCGCCTCGTTAGAGCCATTGCTGCACCTCACTCTCGCTTTTCCAGCCGGTATACAAGCCGTTAACCACAGTCACTCGCTCTAATCACAATTAATTCCGAAGTCAGCCCCTTTCGCGATGCGTTATCTCACCATCGCCGTCGCCGCGCTCGGCATGCTGAGCGTCGGTGATGCCAAAAGGTCTTGTCGTCCTCGTCCCACCTCGACCTTGGCCACTCCCACCTCAACTTCTCCCGCTCAGTCGACCTCTGAGATCGCCAGTTCTAGTACTCCAGGATCGTCCGGTACACCTGAGTCCAGCATCCCGGCCAGCACCCCCATCTCGGCTGAGAGCACTCCCGGATCTTCCATCGTGATCTCCTCAACCACCCCCATCTCTTCCGAGACTCCTGCTTCTTCAGATGTTCTGGCCTCAAGCACCCCTGCGTCCACTGATACTCCTGTGTCTTCTGCTACTCCCGTTTCTTCCGGAACTGAGGTATCTAGCACTCCTGTTTCTAGCGCTGCTTCCTCCACTGTCACTCCCGTCTCCTCGGAGACTCCCGCCTCGAGCTCGGTCGAGTCAACCACTCCCGTCTCCTCAGAGACCCCTGCCTCCAGTTCTGTTGCTTCCAGCACACCTGCTTCAAGCTCTGTTGAGTCAACAACTCCCGTCTCCTCAGAGACTCCTGCCTCCACCTCGGCTGCTTCTAGCACACCTGCCTCGAGCTCTGTTGAATCAACCACTCCTGTCTCCTCCGAGACTCCCGCTTCCAGCTCTGCTGCTTCCAGCACTCCCGTCTCCAGCTCTGCCGAGTCAACCACCCCCGCGTCCAGCACTGTTGAGTCGACTACCCCCGCGTCCAGCACGGTTGAGTCGACTACCCCCGCATCCAGCACTGCTGAGTCGACCACCCCCGTATCCAGCTCTGTTGAGTCGACTACCCCCGTGTCCAGCTCTGTCGAGTCGACCACTCCCGTCTCTAGCTCTGTTGCTTCAAGCACCCCGAGCTCATCTGCTGTCACTCCTAGCTCAACTCCCGTGTCTTCGACCTCGCTTGAGTCCTCGACCACCCCTGTTTCCTCGACCACTCCTCTGTCATCCAGCAGCGCACCTGCCTCGACGACTACTCCCTCGAGCACTCCTGTCAGCTCCACCCTGCCAGTCCAGACCGTGGACAGCACCGTTCTGATCATTGCCCGCGAAGAGACCGAGGCCCAGCAGGCCAGCAATGGTCTTCTCGCATATGGTATCTCCTGGGTCAACTGGATTGTTCCCTCCGGCGGTGCCACGCTCCCCGTGCTCAACTCCACTGCTACCCATGCTAATTATGGCGCCATCATTGTCATGGATGCCGTCTCTTATGACTATGGCACTGCTGGCTGGAACAGTGCTGTGACCACCGAGCAGTGGGCCCAGATCAAGAGTTACCAGGCCGACTTTAACATTCGTCTGGTCCGTATCAACGAGTATCCTGGTGCTACCACTGGCACTACCGCCAAGACTGGTACTCCTACCACCGTTTCCATCACCGACCTTAGCTTCTTCCCTACTGCTAACCTTAAGGCGTAAGAGTCCCTCATTGAACATAGATTGAAGCCGTGTATGTTTCTTGCTAACGGTGATATTTCGTTCCTAGTAACGCTGCCGTTTCTCTCACTGGCCTGTACGCCGTGCCTGCTACCATTACCGACGCCACCCTCACCAAGGAGGTGGCCCAGTTTAATGATGGCTCTACCGCCGCCGTCATCAACACCGTCGATGGTGTCGAGGTCTGGGCCTGGTACATGGCCTGGGATCCTTCTTGGTCCCTGACTTGCGCATACCTCCAGCACGCTCACATTCACTGGATGACCCGCGGCATCTTCCAGGGCAAGCGCAAGATTCACCTGAGCACCCAGATTGATGACATTCAGCTCTCCACCGAGATGTACTACCCTGCCACCTACGGAGACCTCAAGATTAGCATCGCCGACCTTGAGGCCCACATCGACTGGCAGAACAACATCAACGCTCGCATGCCCTCTGGCTCCGACTACTGGCTCGAGCTGGGACACAACGGAAACGGTGACTTCATCGATGCTACTGGAACTGATGCCTCTGCCTCGGTTTGCGATCCCAACGAGGCTGTTGACTACGACCAGGACGTTGAGGCTCCTCACGAGTGGGTTAAGCCCATTGGCACTGGCGAAGACCTGTGGCCCAGCAAGTGGACCGAGTACCCCTGGACCTTGACCTGCGCCAAGCGCGATACCTTTGCTTCTTGGTTCCTGGACGCCAACAACCTCAACCAGTTCGGTCACATCTCCCACACCTTCTCTCACATGAACCTGAATAACGCCACCTATGCCGACACCAAGCGCGAGATTCAGTTCAACCAGGCTTGGCTCAAGCAGCTCGGCATCGACAAGGCCACCCGATATACCGATAACGGCATTATCCCTCCTGCCATCACTGGTCTCTACAACGGTGATGCCCTCCAAGCCTGGGTCGAGAACGGTGTCGTTCAGGTCGTCGGTGACAACACCCGCCCCGGAACCCGCAACACCGGCCACCCCTACTGGCCATACATCACATCCCAGGCCACCAATGGATACGCCGGTGTGACCGTCATCCCCCGTTACTCCAGCCGCATCTACTACAACTGCCACACCGCCGAGTGCACCACCTACGAGTGGACCGTCACCTCCAGCGTGACCGGCACCTTCGACGACCTCCTCGCGCTGGAGAAGGAGTCCAACGTCCGCAACCTGCTCGCCCTCCAGGCCGACCCCTACATGTTCCACCAGGCCAACATGTACCAGGAGGGCGTCGCCTCGCGCACCATCGGCGACCAGACCCGCAAGATGTCCCTCGTCATGATCTGGACCGAGGTCGTCACCCAGGAGTTCCTGCGCCTCACCAACTGGCCCCTCAAGACCATCACCCAGAAGGACCTCGCCGTCTACTTCACCGACCGCATGGCCCTCGACGGCTGCAACGCCAAGATGTCCTACATCCGCTCCACCGACGGAAACTCCATCGAGTCCGTCGTCGTTACCGCCGACGGCAACACCTGCTCCGTCCCCGTCCCCGTCACCATCCCCTCCGGAGCCGTCACCGCTTCCGGTGGCTCCATCACGGTGGACGTTGTCGGTGCCGAGCCCCCTATCCAGTGGGTTACGCTCAGCGGCTCCCCAGTTACCCTGAAGCTCAGCACTCCCGTGTCCCTCATTTAAGGTTTAATGTCTTGTCTCTTTCATATATCAGGGGGTTAATTGTTGGGGTTTGAAGTTGGTCGGTTGTGGTATAGGGCGACACGTCACAGTCCATTGGTCCGCACTTGGGAGTATCCCGGCATGGTTTAATGTTACGTATTTTTCATAGCCTGCGATCTCGATAAATAATTTCTATAATTACCGGTCAATGGAAGGTCTGGAGTGCCGAAATGCATGTGACGTGGCTGTGTGTGATTCTTCATGACACCAGTTGATTGATCGAGGTGCATGATGGCGGCACTGAATTTATGAGTGAAACGGGGCACTGCCCTTCACGTATTATCAAACGTGATAATTCGAACGTCTCACATTTTGATTTGGGTCAAGATCTGAGAGGACCGTACGAGTGTTGTCATTGCAGTTGGCCGGTATGGTAGTGCAGGCAATAGATCTTGGTCATTTGATACTAGGAATCAGTTCTGCCATGAAACTAATAGCACAAAAACTATTTATCAGCCTTCTCACTTGAAGGACTTATCGAAAGTAGACCAAAGCCCCCGACTGAGATGCCTGTGCCTTGGTGTACGAGACGCTGTCGACCACCTGCTTCTCCGCGTTCTTCAAGATAATTGATCCTCCTTTGTTTGACAGTGGGACCCCCTTCACATTGAAACCCTCTTTGTCACCTTGAACCTTGAGAATAGATGAATCAGGTATGGCAAAAGAGTTCCCCATGTGGTTCTCAATTGTCCACCCCTTCAGAGCAACTGAGGACAGCCCATTGTTGACTACATAAACGATTTCCGGGTTCTCACCACCATCCGGGCCATCTGGGTTAACAAGTGCAGCTATGATAGCAACAACCGCGTCGGATGGTCGGCTGGGTGCCTCACCGCCATCACCTGGCTTGTTGTCATCGTCATCAGGTTTGTCATTGCCTCCGCCGGGCTGGCTCTTCTTTTCCAAGACATCACCCAAAGAAGGGCCCTTTGGCTGGCCGTTCCCATCTGTCTCCGCGGTTTGAGAAGCAAAAGCGATGAAGAAGGCCTCCCAGTGACCGTCGGCGAATTCCACTATGACGCTACCGTCTTGGTATGTCCCGTTGGAGCTCTTGAACCTCCCATCACTCCCCTGGTTCATGTGCACATCATGCAGACCATCCTTGCCAGAATACTGCTCGCCATAGATGTAAACAGTGGCCTTTTTCTTGATCGCATTGTCAAAGAAGGGCTGGATGAAATCAACAATGTCGTTCTTGTCACCAGGCAGATCGTGGGGTACGACGCTGCCGTCCTGGACCTTGACAACATTGGAGCGCAGGATATCCAGCGCGATGTCACGTTGGTCATTTGAGATCCTGTGGAAGCCAGGCGAGAGAGACTTGAGCTTCGCCGTGAGGGGGTGCTTGAAATCCTGGATGAGCCAGTATACGAGCCGCGAGTCTGACGAGACTGACTTGACGTTGATGGCGGACTCGAGCTTCTTGGAGCTGACACCGTCCTTGAATCCCAAGTATCCGTGAGGGCTATCAGGATCCTTGTCTGCCCTCTCGACAGTGAAGCTGGTGGGTGTTGCCTTCCACACTCCGTAATCTCTGAGAGGCATGATGGCGATGTGCGTGGTTTTTGGTTATGGATCGAGAAGAAATCGAATTGAAGATATCTTATTGATTGGATGAAGAGTTTGAGCAGTCCGAGCAGAGCTTGAGCAGCTGGGGGCTCAATTTATACCTTTTCAGCTACGAATAAAGCACACGTAAATCATTCCGTCTCACCGTCACGGAACTCTCATAAGCTGCATATTCACAAAATGAACGCCTATTGAATGGGATTGCACCGCTATTGCACGTGCCGTGTGAGACACAACGCCGAGCTGAGTGTGATATCACAAAGTTCTAAGCCAAATGCGACGGAAGAACCTCCAGCCACTGAGAGTAGCTGCTTGCAACAACGGGCTATTGAGCGGTCGAGACTCCAGCTGGCCGTCGAGACGGTTGGAGTCCCCGTATCATTGGCTGAGGGGACGGCTGACAGCGCTGACGGCCATGCCCAATACGTTGGGGGATGGCTGCGCCGTCAGCCACCATGCTCAGCTCGATGCGCCCGAGTTCCAGCAGGTGAGTCCAGGAATGCTGTGCGGGCTGACTTGGTTATATCTCTACCAGGGCCTTGTGTATTGGCCCGCTGACAATGGCTGGTTATGAAAGGGAAGTGTATGTTGCGATATTACGTTCACGGTAAAGATTGCATACTGGCGTTAATGTTTGAAAGGGTACGTGAACGCGTCGCTTGTGTGCTGAAAGGGAATTAAGATGTTTTGGTCGAAATCAAAAGTCGTAGTTTGTCATCTTCGAGTGTTACTGGTCATAATAACGGGGCGAGGTAGTGCAAAAAGGAAAAGAGAAAAAAAGTCTAAAAAATAGGTCCCGGAGGGAGTCGAACCCTCGCTGACAGGATCAGAACCTGTAGTCATGACCGTTAGACCACGGAACCGTGGGACGCTAAGCGCCTCGTGGATGGAAGACCAGGTTGTAGCAGGGGAGAACAAAATTTAGTATATATACCTCTAAAGCTAGGCCCAGCCCCATGGCCGTCTACTACAACTACCATTAAGCATCTCTGATCGAATGATCCCGGCTTTTAGACCATTGCATATAAATAATGAATTCATCTTAGGACTACCTAGTATTAATATGTTCTTACAATTATCAGCTTTGTCGTCGTCAGGAATGTACCAAATTCCCAGACAAGCACAACTTCACCCACGCCGTCTCCTCTCCCTCCCTACTCGAGCCAATGTCAAGCTGGTACGTGTGAGCTGATGCCCTCCTCATCGCCGCGGTCAGTATCAACCCTTGGATTCCAGAAGTCGAAGCTACGGCGGCCCGGTCTGAGAAGTGAAGAAAATATGCCTTTGATTGGCTATGGAGGTCATCATATCGCTGATGAATTGTCGTAAGGCGGTTGCTGGATTCCTCATCAAACGTACACCAATGCTGCCCATCACTCACCCCACAAGAAATTTGGAAGTATGTCTTTCCTTGGCCCAGAGAAAAATTGCACCCTAAGACCAGAATGAAATCCTCATTTTTAGGGAACACGTGAAATCCCGCCGCTGGTATTGGGTGGCTAATGTCAATGCTGATGCGATTGGTCTTCGGCTCGACATTGAAAGATGTGAACTGAGGATTTCGAGCAAATTCAAGGTCTTGATTCAATTGAACTGAGCCACTAGGGCGTAGTTCGAATCGGCTCATTGCGAATTGTTTCTCGAGAGACCCATCAACACTGATTAAGCAGTGAGGAACAGCCCTGGAATCCAGTCGACAATGGGCCCCGGAGGTGTCCAGAACCAAGCACAAGAGTCGATTCTCGATCTTACAGCAAGTCCAAGCTAGCCAGAGAGATCCAGAACAATCTTCATACCGTATCAATGAGGCATCATCCCTATTCATGTGCTCTATTTCCATCAGCGGGAGGCTTATTTGAATCCCACGGCTGGCAAGAGTGGGAGGCTCGTAAACCCCAAAGGATCGCTCAATTTCGTGAGTCGGAACTTGGTAGACCTTTGAGTAGTCTAAACTACAAATCGCTTCAAAATTGTGCTCAGGCAATTTCCGGGATAGTCTGAACAAACCATGTCAACGACGAGTGAGATTCCACCAGAAATAAGTGTCAAACCTTTCTATAATGGCAGCTTGTGGCGATTCCGATGCAGCAGATATTTTCTTGTTGGAAACGTTATCGGGTTCACTCAATCGTGGAAAATCTGCCGGAGACGAGCACCAAGCTCCCCGAAGCGGAGAATGACGATATGTCGTAGAATCGTGTGACTGGAACCACATAAAGATGGTATAGTCGTCTTCTTGCTTCAAGATTTGTTCTTGCAGTCTGAGAAAGGCCTTGCTACCTTCCCCATATAACAGCGGCATATTCACACCAAAGAACCCCATTAGACAATACGCCATATCCTCATCTCTCGTTGTCACCCGCTTAGACGCCCAGGACATCCGCTCTGCAACATTGTGTGATAGAGGGTTTTCCCCGCGGAGGACCCGCTGCGGGATGCCTGTCCGTTCAGATATCTGTTTCTCCAGGCTCCTCTTCGTGCCTATCTCCACCCAGTCGAAGGTGTAAAATTCGACATACCTCGGCGCAATCAACTCCTGCAGAGTCCACCCTCTAGTAAACCACCGACTTCGACGGATATCGGCCGTTCTGACCGGCCACCGGGAAAGACTTGTGTGGTCAGGTTTGTTGTACACATCCCAGAGATAGACGAAACATATTGTAGACCCCTCGTACCACTTATACATGGAGTTGATAGCCTCGGAGAGCTCTGAGGAACTAGTCTTGTCGATACACAGAGTGTCTATCCATATCCATTTCAAGCCTCTCTCCTTCGCTAGACGGCAACAGCCCAGTACTTTGCTATATCCTGCCTTTTTGTGGGCGGTTCCGTTGATCATGTCATGAAAGAGGACCTCATCCTTCTCCCACGTGTGGCTAAGGATAGCATAATGCGGGATAATATGACCGAAGTCCTGGATTTCTAGGGATGCTGTGTTGAGAAGTCTCATCCTCGTCGTGAAGGCGGGATGCGGGGTTTGTGTGAAGATGGTAAGCTTCGGAGTGGGGTGAGGCTAATCCAATATTTTCTTGAACCACCTTCTGTAGCCGCAGTCTAGGGGTATAGGCTGATATACTTTAGTAACAACTCATATAAATAAAATTTGGCCCAGGTTTTTAATTCCGGATACGTAAGTATTTCTATCGTAGCTCATGTTGGTTTATTCAACTAATCTGGCTTAGAGCAGAAAAGTAAAACTCCTTAGAAACTCTCATTATTCATCTTCCATTTGCGTACCTCTTGCGCATATTCAAGTATGAAAAAAAACCAAAACCGAAAAGGAAATGGTCTTTAAACACAACTCTATGAAACACACAATTCTGTCCTCGGTAATGTTCCTAGTAATTTTAGCAAAGCAAATGTTGAATGCGTGAACTCTAGGCAAAATCTTAGACTATATAATTCCTTGCCCCATCCTTATAGATCCCTCTTCAGCTGGTCAGCACGATTTCTCCTTATCATATATATACAACAGACATGGCCCTGATTCAATTACGTGCCGCTGCAACCCGTCCTTTCTTTCTGCTTGTACTCGCGGGATTGAATTTCTGGACTCCTCGCGCGAGAGCGACAGGCTTGGATCCTCGCGGGGAGTCTTATGTGCTTAGGGATATCTCTGAACATAAGTAAGCTTCCTGTCAACATGAATGCTTGATAAACACTCAATACTACCCAAGTTGCATGTTGCCCACAAATGTTTCCTTGTAGCTGTTTGGATTATCCTAGCTTTTTTCCTTATACGCCACACATCTATTCCAGGGGCTATCATGGTAAGTACACATAATAATAACTGCTAACTTCATGGGTGATAGTTTGCGAGGTTTAGAGAGCAATGACTATCAACCCTCTGCTTTGATATCAGGAGGAGAAACGGTAGCGTTGGAGATTCGTTCAGGGGCGAAATCGACAAAAAAACCTGAAAGAAGCCATCGGGAAAACGCTCGAAGAAGAAGAAGTCGTTAAAAAAGCAACCGAAGAAGGTATCAAATAGGGGGGGGAAGAAAAGGAAAAGAAGAAACCGACTTGCCTAAACCCCCTTACTCCTAAAATTAACCCACGTTGCCTCGGCGGCTCTCATGGCAGCTATATAAGAAGCAAGGGAATGGTATGCTCAACAGGTTGTGTGTTTGAGGGTAGACGAAGCCCCTCTTGTCATTTGCAGTGTCCTGTAAAGGCTGGCACGGTGTGCACGGCCGATTGCAGAACTATCAAAACCTGCGATGACTGTATCAAATATTTCAAGGCCAAGACTGGGATGGGGATTAAAAACCAGACGTGCAGTAAGGGTAAGCTATGCTTTTGAGGGTTTTGACATGAGGCTCTACTAACTGTTTGCAATAGGCCAGTATAAATTTTGCAACTGTTAGGGGCAGGAGACGAATAGCGTTAAGGGGAATCTCGCACGAGTTCTTCTTGTACAATGAAACTGCCATCTTATGTTGAAAGCTAGCTGTAATAGAATTGTCGGTGCCACCAATTTCCACCTGTGGCCAAGCCCACTCCCATTCCCACGCTTTGGAGTGGTGGCATTGACCTTCAAGACCATTTCGTTGACGGTGTGTATGTGTCATGGAGATAATACACAACTAAAAAGAACACTACCGGATGAATAATTTAAAAACCTTGGAAATCGGGAAATAGAAAAGTGCGGCTCAACTAGAATTGCGCGTGGTCGCCCCGATGAATCATGATTCGGGGTGACGAAGACGATCGGTGCCGGATACCTCTCTTCTCTCTTCGGACATTTAAAAACGCCTATTTTCAATTTAGGATCAAGACTAGTGTCCATGACGATCCATTTCGGAACATTATTGTGGTCAGTACGTATTTTGCAACGGCGGGTTTAGGCCATCAAGGGGATAACTACAGATATCCCGGCTTAACTCCGAGTGCCTTTCTTCGAGACGACTTAGCACAACAAGTTTGATAGATGGGCTACGATATCTGTGTTGCTTTTTGTATATATAATTACGATATTCATTTTAACGAAATGTTGTTGTATCATTATCGGTTCTGAAATCAATCGGCACAGTTCTACACTCCACTTTTGTATGTTCTCTCTCGACAAGACTCTTGAAAGTAAACAAAATGCCCCAGTTGAAGTATGCCAAGGACCAGCCTTCTGGCTTCACCAACCGCATCGAGCGAGTTGCTATTGTTGGTGTAAGTGGTATTGGTACAGCGTGGTCTGAGTGAGCTACTAACGTTACGTTACGACAGGCTGGAGGAAGAATTGGAAAACATATTACAAAAGCTCTGATTGCGAAGGGAAAGCACGAAATCACCGTCCTCTCTCGAGAAGGCAGCGACAGCAAATTTGCAGATGGCGTCAAAGTCGTCCGGGTAAACTACGACGACGAGGAGTCTGTGATCTCGGCGCTCAGAGGCCAGCAATTCTTGATTGTGTCAGTGGCTGCCACAGCTCCACCGGGATCTCAAGAGAAGATACTCACTGCAGCCGCTAAAGCTGGTGTTCCGTGGGTGATGCCAAATGGATATGGGATTAATGCTTTCAACGAGCGACTTGCCAAGGAGGCCATGATTGGCCCTGTTGCTAAATCAGGGATCAAAGCTGTTGAGGATGGCGGTGTTTCATCCTGGGTGCTCCTCGTTTGCGGCTTCTGGTACGAGTTCTCGCTTGCTATGGGCCCGCCGTGGTATGGGTTCGATTTTGCAAACAAGAAGGTCGAGTTCTCTGATGATGGGAACACAGTGATCAACACAAGTACCTGGGAGCAGTGTGGTCGCGCTGTTGCAAACCTTCTTAGCCTAAAAGAGCTGCCCGATGATGAGAACGATGACTCTCCGTCCATCTCCCGATGGCGCAACAAACCGATGTTCATCTCTAGCTTCCAGATTTCACAGAGGGACATGCTGGACAGCGTGAACCGTGTAAAGGGATTGACTGATGATGACTGGAAAATCGAGCATGAAGCTTCTGATGTTCGTTATCAGAGAGGATTGGACATCTTGAAATCAGGCAGCCGTCTTGGGTTTGTGACGGCATTGTACGCACGAGGCTTCTACCCTAACGGGGATGCGAACTTTGAGGCCACAGAGGCGCTTGCTAATGACGCACTTGGTCTGCCCAGGGAGAGTATAGACGAAGCTACCAAAAGAGCAATTAAAATGGTCGACGAGGGCTTCAATACACGCAACTGAGAGTAGGGCAAGTAGACTTTGGTACTTGATGAAAAGGCATTTACCAACACTTCAAGTTGGAATATATAGTGAATGGAACCTTATGTGTTGATACGTACTGAATACCAAAACATTGTGAGGCAGCAGGTAGATGTCACGCCGTCCCTCATCCGCTTAGTTTCTGCGCAGTGTTAGCGACTGCTTCCCCCTTTCTAGGTCGCAAGCTTATCAAGAAGGCCATTTTAGCTTCTAATAATTTCGCTTAGAGTATTAGTTTACTATTTGTTCAAGTGATATGTGAAACGGATGAGGATAATACAGCCGGCACTGATATTTCTATTTCACCGCGTACAGGGAGTTAGTTGTGGCACTTACATACCTAGAAAAGACTGCGACATGGGGGGCAGTAGCTGAGTCAATATAGCTGAAAGACCTAGAGAACGCCTCAACCAAATAGGGTAGCTATTCAATGGGTGTTTCGTCTCCGAAAGCGTTCGCCAAGAACGAAAGCGGTCCCCGGCTGGAATCGGCTCCGATGCAAACAGATTATCTTATCAATCAGCCGCTTATCATGCTACATCATGGGACCTCATTTCTTCAATGCACACCAGTCACTTTTGCCATCTATCCCAACACATTCGAAAATGCAAATCAAATGCATCCAGACCTCGACTGTCCGGCCAGCTGAATCATGGCTCATTAAAAGCGCACAGGGCTTAGAATACCTTATTCAAATCGGCTTCCCCCGAGACTGGCTAAATCCCCAAAGCAAGCCGAAGGAATGTAGCGTTCCAATCATGTAAGACCTGAACCCCGCGCAACACATTCCAGGTTTGCGCGGTTTTCTCACCATTCACCAGGTACCTCACTGATGGGAACTCTGTTTTTTCATCTTCCCTGGAGAGACTCCATCAACATCTAGTCCTGTCCGAGTTCGGCACATCCGCTGGAGTCGTTGTGGCCATTGGCTACTTGCTCCAAGCTGACTCGAACTTCCTGTGGAGTGCTCGGAGAAATTGGGACTTGACGCCCCCATCTCCAGGATGTCTCCCGAGTGAGGGTGGTGCAGATGATTTTGCCAAATTCATCCAAGGCCGAGTGAAGCCACTTGTGCACCAGCGGATTAAGGAGCTTCGAGGAGTTGACCCAGGAGCACAAGGCCTATACGGGCATTCCCACGGCGGGCTGTTCACGCTGCACACCATGTTTACAAGGCCTTGGATGTTCGATAGTTATATTGCTGCTAGCCCCAGTATTTCTTGGAACGAAGGATTCATTCTGGAGGAGGAAGCATCCTTTCGCTCCGGAAGAGTCGAATGCGCTTCACCGCCATCACTGATGTTATACGTTGGTGGAGCAGAGCAGAATCCGCGGCGAAAGCGAGACGAGACGGATGACGAATATGAGAAACGACGGGAGCAATACCAAAGGCGCAAAGATGTAGACTCCGTGTTAGAGATGAACGCACGGCTGCGGGACTCTGGTAAGATGAAGTATTTGACGTCTAAAGTGTATGATGGAGAGGACCATGGAACCGTCATTGCGTGTTCAATTAGCCAGGGTTTGGCTACCTTTCTTGACGGCTGGCCTTACATCGATTAAATAAAATCCTTCAGCTTTGTTAGACGTTTGAATTAGGGAACAAATTTGCCTTTACTGTCAGCGTTGACTCAAATAGCTAGAATCATATTTTGTGTAGGGATTTGATGCGGGCTGAATGAAGAATGAGGTGCAGTACTCTTGGATGCTTCGAATCTTAACTATTGCAACTTGGTACGACCCCCGGTTGTCCGATGCTGAAATTAGACA